ACTATTAGTATTTTTCTGCATTTTTTCACGGAACTCTTTGGCATCTTGACTTTTCAACGGTCCGCGTGTGACTGTGTACTAAGAAGTGCTTGAGTGGAGTTCAAACACTTCTTGATAGGGACCACAGACTATTTAGATATTGGGACACATTTTGAGCGGTCGTGGTGTATCTAGGGTATTTAATATCGTTAATTCTATGTCTTTATCTAGGTCATAAACTATGCGCACTTAATTTCATACAAATCCGTTTAACCGTTTTAGCGTGAAAGAGTAACAAATATGCATACAAATTTTCGCGTTTTTAAAATTTTATTAGGATATGTTTGACTTCAATCAAATAAAAACTGTTGGTTGTATACTTATGACATCTATTATTTTATACGATGAAATAAATAGTTTTTATTTATTTTTTCCATTTCCATAGCTGACAAACTTATCGACAAACTTACGCGTTGAGACATGAGCTGCGTCTGAGTCACTAGCAATACACGTGCCGGTGTGAGAGCGAGATAGCATATATGATGTAGCCCATGCCAGAAAGGGATAGTGTAAAAAGACATCAACGCGTTCACCAAAAAATAAATACATTAACAGCAATTTAATATAACAGTATTTTTGTCTTTTTGTAATGCATTTAAACTAACCAGTGAAAAGTAATACCATTTTTTTGAAGACTGGAAGTTGTACTCGACTTTCCACACAATTTAATTGCACAGTACGGCATTTTTTACAGTTTTTTAACACGAAAACGAGAGAAACAGTTCGACCAACGCTCGGTTACCGAATGAAACGATGTATCGCGACGTCTGTAGGCGTGCCTCACGCATAGGTAATATACTACTTAAGCTTGGCGTAAGCGCTTGCCCTTGTATGCGGACTCTAGTGGGGGTGCTCCGTGCATTAGAATTACCTTTTACCATTATAAACCTAATTATTACTAAGAAAACATCCTATTGGTTTAAATCTAAAGAAAATATAACTAGAAAAAAAAGCAACATCAACAGCAAGTTCAAGCAGTTACATGCTTTAAAAATAATAAAAATTATAATCCTATTGGTTTTTATAAAATTATGATAACAGTTCCATGTTTCTCATAACATAGGTAAGCAGGTACCAGTTCCTTGACATGCATTTTGTTAGTGTAATTAGTGTTAGACACTTGTCAAATGAAACAAGATTGCTTCTGAAAGTCGCAATGGCATAATCATGATTTTAAAACTTACTCTTGTGCATTAATTTTAAAAACAGACAATTATCTGTTATTTTACATGCTCTATATACCTGAATCTAATACATATAGTTCATTCGCGTTAAGAAATATATATATAATATATATATATATAGAAATATATAATATCGGTACTTGGCTTGATTGCCCTATTTTCCTATATAAGTTATTTGGTTTTTATTATTCTAATACCTATGTGCCTATTTGCAAACATAACCTCAAAATCATTCAGTGTATATGGTTTATAGAAGTTCTCAGGAGTGGCCGTCGATAATATTCGTTTCTACGATAATTTATATATAATTTCGAATCTAGGAAACAATTTTTCATGGTTATTGGTTTTTAGGCCAACAATTTGAGACTTGATCCAGTAACATCTCAATCTCGGACACAAGTCTGTCTTTATACCCTTCTTCTTCCATCCGAGGGATGTTTGACCGGCCAGTGTAAAAAGTATCAGTGCTGTAATCCGCATAGCAACGAATGCTGTTATTGCGGACAGTATGGGCGACAAAGCTGATCTTTGTTGGAAGTCAGCATTTATGGTTACAGTGTTAGAATAGATTTATTTATTTTTAAAGACATTTAAATTGACGGATTAATTGGCGACCAAAAACAGGAAATTTTTAAACCCGGACTACAAACGAAACCCCGCCCGGACGCTCCCCGGACGCCCCGTAAACTAGGACGAACCGGGGGAAACCAGGATGGATGGCAGCCCTATCTTTGGTTAACGAGAGTTTAAAAAATCTCTCTAATCTGTGGCTCATTCACAATCATTACACAGTTTCTGTCACAGAGTACCATTATAACCGGAAATGCATAGATGACACCTGATTTTAAAAGTTACTCTTATGCATAACTTCAAAAACAGGCAACTATCTGTTAATGTACATATGCTCTATATACCGGAATCTAATCCAATATTTCGGTAATAGGCTTGATTTCCCTAGTTTACTATATAACTTATTTGTTTTTTTATTATTTTAATATGTTCAGTGTATAGTGTTTATAGAAGTTCTCAGGGGTGTCCGTCAATAATATTCGTTTCTACAGTAATTTATATATAATTTCCAATCTAGGAAACAATTTTTCATGATTATTGGTCTTTAGGCCAAACATGTATGGAAGCTGAGCAATCTCCTTTCCCTTTAAAATTTAGTTGGGTAGTTTAGGCATACTAAAAATGGCAAACTGTATATTTTTTTCAAGATAACTATTCTTACCAAGTTTAATATTTTTCATACAAACTTTCATCCCCCTGCTTACCCTAGGTAGATTTTCGAAATGCCCTGATACACGTATTCTTTATTTATGGTGTAGTTAAAATTATGGTTTAAGACATTTATATCTTAAAACAGTACACAATTCACTTACATGAGAAGACAAAAGAATAATCCAGTACGGGTGTTATACGAGACGTACGAAATAAACAAAACAATTTAGTTGGACATCACACACTTATCACAAATCACTATTGAAACACTTTTTTTTATTAAAACTGTTAATAATTTACCTATAATTTATTTTTATTGATAATTTAGTTCGAACAATGCATATAAATATTTGTTACGCAAACATCTGTAAAATGACCCACATTTTACAGATGCGACCGTTTTCTTTAAGAAAAACGAGTACATATTACGTACCGAAATCCGTTTGCTATCAATAGCCGATACTAATTGCCTTCAGAATGACTTGTTAGTTTTTTTAGGACACCTGAGCTCAGTCGACAGAAAGGAAGTCATATTTTTTGAAAGTACATTATATAGGTATACATATATCTTATGCACTATTTTTTTAAAGTTCTTTTTATTACAATTTTAATAATTTTTAATTGTAAGGCATTTGATATTGTTATAAAATATTTTTTTAAATAAGATGTTTCAGTAGTTTAAAAATGATATTAAGTAATATTTTGCCTTATAACATTTTGAAAATATAAAATTACTTACATAAAAAAATGATCCATACAAAAACTTCGACACCCTCCCAATCCCCTGTTAGGTGGGTTTTGGGGTTGTTTTTGTTGTAGCGGCAGGGCCTATTTTGCCTCTCCGGGCAAAGCAGTTTTTGCTGCTTAATCTTCCCAAAGTATAGGGGAAATCCCCATTGAACATAACAGTTCAGCAATGTAAAACCGGCAAAAAATTAGCATATGACTTTCTTTGTAAAAACCTATTTAATTTTCTAAACTCATCTTTAATTTATTAAAAGAGTTGGTTCTTCATATCCTATTTAAGTATTTCTCCTTTCGAAGAAATTTAATTAATATCATCATCATCAGGCTTCCTCTAGGGATTTCCATACCAAACTAGGGCGTATTTACGCTTGGGTCCTGGCTAAAATCAAACTCTGCACGAATCACTAGCAAATTCACAGTTCATTCTTTAGCAACCTCGAGTTTCGAAATTTATCTGGTATCGGGATAGGATCGACTGCAGCAGAATGTTTTAGTCGGCGTCGTCGGCGGGCCGGGTCAGATTTAGAGGTGTGGGGGCCCTAGGCCAACGAATATGTGGAGGCTCTTAAATCTAAGCAGGACCACTTACGATTACTCAATGACAAAATTTCTGCAAAAGATAGATACGTGTGGTCCAAGTTACAAAAACGAATTAATTGTAACTATTCCATTTTATTTTTGGTTTCTATTAGGATTTGTATTTGTTGTGCTTTTATGCAATCTGTTCTTCTAATAATCTGGGATTTAGTTATTCCGGGATATTGTTTATCTGTCCTTCGGTTGCAGAGGGGTCCATTGACACTTTTTTTTTATCTCTGACCCTTATCCCTTGTCTTGTGGGGGCCCCTGGGCCACAACCCCGCCTGTCCTGCCTTAAATTCGGCCCTGTCGAAGAGCAAGGATGGGAAATGGTCTCTCTAGAAACCAAACCTCTTTACTTACCTACCTGGTACCTAGTACCATAAAATAATGTATGTTAGTTCACATGGACAGCACCTCCTCCTCCCACCACCCCTAGGAAAAATCCCTTCCTACGCCAATGACGCCGATCGCTAATTTCTTTGTACCAAACCAATCGATCGATTGTCGATTGCGTTCGCGAACAACAATTTCGAAAGAAACTGATGAAATATAGCGGGGGTTTATCATTCAATGTCGACTGGCAATCGCTCGATTGGTTAGTCGAACGGTATCTGTCGATTAATCAAAAGTTCGGTCTGGTAACACCCTAAACTCGGACCAAATAAAATTTGGTCTGAGACCCTAAAATGGGAAATGAAAATTCACAATATAAATTTAGAGGCACGCATTTTGATGCATTGGATATGACAATTGTTATTAGCTGGTCTAATAAAGGAATGCACATACATATATTAAGAAACCTGAACTTTTCCTAGTCATGAAAAAACTAAATAATTGACCTGAAGGTATCATTAATACACTAATCCATAATAAATAAGCTTTATTTTAGACTATACAGCAATAAGTACACATTTAAATTATCTAGTATTTCGATACAGAGCTTACTAATTTTACTATCTATTAAATTCCAATCAATAATTGCATTGAATTTAATAGCATTTAAATAAGGTATTAATAACTGTACTACAAAACAGTGATAAAGCTAAAGACAGATACACTATCTGTATGTTGTGACCAGTTAGTCATAAATAATGTTTTATAATTTTAGCTATCTGTTATGTAGCAAGGCTATTATATTTTCTAAAGTAATTAAATAGTTCAATATATTAGGTACAGCATTCATTTAAATATATTATTTGGTAACAATAACTGGCTATACTATGATGATTATACTAATACAAATTCCTCTGATTCAATATCAGTATCACTATCATGCAGGTTAGGTGTCACCCAGTTCTGCTCTGTTTCATAAATTGAAGTTCTTATTTTAGGAAAATCAATAACAGTGCTACTTGATCCACTATGTAAGGTAAACATAGGATATTCAAAATTAGCTGAGACACCTTGTGGAATTAGAAAAGATGTAATGACATTGACAAAGGTCTCAAAGTCATGTTGTGTTGCCAAATAAAATCCAATGCAACATGATGGGTCCATTTTACTAAGAGGCATTTTCCTCGGTGAGCGGCAATGAAATGTCTGTAATGAAAAGTTTGGCTGCCAAACATCCACCATTTCTTGACAATAATGTGGATCCAAATGAATTAATCTGTCATCTTGGTATCCTACAAAATAGAGAGAATGTTTTGGTCTACCGCCTATTATTCCAACACAAAAGTCTAAAGTTAAAAGTGAAGTGAGACATGGACCATATATGGGATTAAACTTATCAGTACCCAATTTTACAGGTACTAAAAGAATAAGTGATTTCCATGATCCATTTGGTAATCTACAAATTGAATATACATCTTGAACATAAACTGTAGAGTCTTGAGCAACATATACTTCTATTCTATCAAATTCATAATTTTCTTTTGAAGCAGCTTTTACAACTGATTTAAGGCAGTGAGCTACAGAGGCTGGCCCATACCAATCCCCTGGCTTCTTACCCAAAGCTTCACCTAAAATGACCATATTGTGAATTGATAAAGGGCTATTTACTGATGACTTGTCACCAAACCATTTTATTATCATTCGATGAAGACAGTCTTCTTGAAATTCTCTAGCATTTTGAATGGATTTTTCTGGACACCATCTCCATGAACGTCCAAGAAAGTGACAAACTAAAGCTTGTGCAAGCATCATTTGCCCACTTCTCAGCATGCACCCCCAACCACAATCTGTAGTGAATGTAGAGCCGGTCATAATAGGAAATTCTCTTCTATATGTCATCCAAAGTCGGCTAATAAAATCAGATTTAAATCCTTCAATACCCTCTCCATAAATCTGTTCCATTGGTTGCTGAGCAGTTGCTTCAGTTCCAATTTCTGTTGAAGATTCTAAGGAACCTGTTGGACTTAATTTGCGATGATAACAACGCCCTAGTAGCCACACAGGGGATTCTTTAGAAAAGCTAGTTTTTAATTTAACAGTCCATCCAAACTTTACGTTATTCCACATAGATAATAGTCGGGATTCGACTTTTCCTTTGAGATCAAGTAAATCTTCGGAACTGTCACGTCCATTTTCTTTTGATCCCGCAGGTTTCGGGGTTTCTACTTTTAATAAAGACATAGCTTGATTATTACTCACATCATGTGGATGACTCAAGTCGGAGTTTTGTACATTGCCACTTTGTCTGTTCATAATAATGATGATTAAATCATGTTATAGACATCTTAACGATCAGGGATTTTGGCAATTTAAGTTGGTAGTATTTTGAGCTAGTATGTATTCCATCAATGAACAACACCAAAAGTGGTGCATCAATTTAATATTAAGATAGAAGTAGTAAATAATCAAGATAGTGCAAAACACGCGTAATTTTAAGCTGACGTGGGTCTTGTTTATACTAATAACTATGAATTTCAGGATAAATATTGTTTGAAACAATAAGCTTTCCTTTGAAGAAAAACTTTGAACTATATTTTCCTCACTGCGATATTTTACAATTTCCAAGCAAAGCAAGCAAATACCTTTAATATTTTGACATTGACATTTTTTTTGGTTAAGTTCTCCCTTTTCAGGGAAGGCAAGGGGAACAATGCCCATACAGCCTAGTTTTAAGTTAAATTATTCTGTTTTTCTTTTTACATTAGAATGTCGGTGTGACGCATTCTAATGTTTCTTGAAGTGTTTGGCACGACATGTATAGAGCTAGCTTTTCCGATAAGCTTGTGTGAGGTAGTCAATACTACAATAAAATTCTCACGTCCACTTGACCGGAATAGCGTATATTTTGACGATTCTACTAATTCTTCAGTTACGCAGACAGTTGTAACACAAAATCACACCAATTTTATTTCACAATATCTACTATGAACGAATTTAAGAATAATTAAAATAGTCTTATTTTAATTATTCGCCAACCCAAAGAGTAACATAAGCCAACCACACTCGATGAAATCCCGCCAAAAACCCTTGACATTTTATTTGACATGAGAATTTTTCCTGTCGGCAAAGTATATTAAGTTCATACAGTATTATCTTTATTTCTTTTTATTTATTTGGTTTGTTTATTTTACTCATAAACTAAATCAATAATGGTGTCAATTCTGACACATTTCTCTAAACCTAAACTTAAAGATCAAAGCCCATTTTGGACCTGATAATGTATAGAGATGACATATACGTCAAAATAAAGCTAATTTAATTATAAGTTTATTACAATAATCAATGTGGTAAAAGAAACGCAGGTAAAAAATATTGTTTTTTTTCTTTATTTTAAGCATTTAACTGCTAGATGTTTAAATCTAAAGAAAAGTTTTACTAGAAAAAAAAACCACGCGGACCAGGCAGCGGACGGAAGAATTAGTGGAATCGTTAAAATATACGCTATTCAGGTCAAGTGGACGTGAGAATTTTATTGTAGTGTTGACTACCTCACAGAAGCTTATTGAAAAGGCCAACTCGATACATTTCATGCCAAATACTCCAAGAAACACTAAAATGCGTCACACCGACATTCTTATGTAAAAACAAAAAGAAGATTAATTTAATTAAAGACTAGGCTGTATGGGCATTGTTCCCTTTGCCTTTCCTAAAACGGGAGAACTTCAACAAAAAAAAAATCAAACAAATGTCAGAGTTGACAGCAGCTTCTTGTATTTTGTCAAAAATAAATTAAAAATTGAAAAAAAAGGCGGGAAACGTTGAAGTAGGTGGGCGCGTTTTTACCTTTTGAAATTAATTTTATTAAAAATTATTAGTTTTTCAACCAGTTGAGTAGCGTAATTATATTTAATTGTATATTTATATTTGTGTAGTGTATTTTTAGTAACTTCATCGCCTGGTAAGTCGTTTAAATAATATTTACAATGAACGAACCCCCTGACCCAGGGGGTTCCACTTCTAATACAGGACAATTTGCGGTTCCCTCTGTCGCAAAATGTTACTGTTATGAATCAAGGTGAATCTAGTGTAGATACTGACCAAACAGTCAATACTATTGTAGATTGGTCTGCTCCGCCGACTATGAAAAGGAGTAAATCTGTTAAAATATGTAAAAATTGTAATAAGAAAAAGCGGAAAAACAAAATGGCGGGAAAGAATGTAGGATGTCTTTGTGAATCTGAAAGTTCTATCGAGTCTGCAATTACTGATAATAAACAAACGACCCCTCATACTGCACCCCTATTAAACGCGAATAGCATTTTAAATCAGCCTCAACCTGAAGTGAGTAGTCCTGTGAATAGTCGTAAATTTTATGACAAAAATGATTTTCCTCCATTCATTGTGCATGTCCAGCGTGAGCAGACAGCTTTAAATACATACAATCCATTTATCATTGCACTTTCAGAAACCTGGTTAAAATTAGGTTTTAATTTCAAAATACCTGGATATTATTGTTTAAGACAAGATAGAGCAGATGGCCATGGGGGTGTTGCTCTATTGATAAAGGATTTTGACGTGACAACGTCTTAAATTAGGTTGCGGCTGGGAGTCACTTATGAAAAAGTGTAACGCTCGGTAACGTTACGATGAGTCTCTCGTGTTAAGTTTAAGTTTACATGTACAATGTTTTAGTAAACAAAATATATTTCTATAGTTAAAATTTGTGCAATTCTTATTTTCATTCAATTCCTTGTTCCTATTGTGCAATTTAATTATATTCATATCAATAAATATTCTACCGAGAAAAAGACGTTGTCACGTAAAATCTTCGCCCGTAAAACCGACTTTACAGGCAACCATTTTTTTACCAATATAGACTTTTTTCATTACCTGTACCTTGTAGCGAATACTCTGCCATTGCTGCAATTGTAAATAATATCTGTTTTGTGTCAATATATGTACCTCAACCCAACTACATCTATTTTAATTGAAATCAATGACCTTCTATCTCAACTTCCAAAACCATTTGTGCTTGGTGATTTCAACAGTCACCACCAGTCTTGGGGCAGTTCAATCACAAATAACGTAGGAGAGCAACTAATGGACATATTGGACAAAAACAATTTGTGTTTACTTAACACTGGTATTCCTACCCGTCTTACTAGCCCTACAGATTTTATTAGTGCTGTTGACCTCTCAATATGTACACCTAGCCTTGCATCATCCTTACTCTGGCATCCCCTCACTTCATCTTTTGGAAGTGATCATTTTCCAATAATAATCACCTTTCCATTTGCAAATAAAAAATCTGTTAAGAGAAAAACCTTTCATAAATATAAACTTCATAATGTAAATTTTTCTGTATACAAGAACAAAGTGGAAGAAAAATTTTCAACACTACCTATCTTGGAAAATAATAATGAAGATGAATGCTCTGCAGCCTTAGCTAGATGTATGATTGAAGTTGCTGATAACATATTTCCTATTAAAAAATCTTGTAGTAATTTAATACCCTCCCCACCCTGGTGGGACAGAGATTGTACTTTGGAGATTTCCCGGAGAAAGAAAGCTGAGCGCCAATATTGCGAAAATATGACCACGGAAAACTTTGCAGTTCTTTTACGGGTTACATCCGAAGTTAAAAAAACATTAAAGAGGAAAAAGTCAGAATCCTGGAAAAAATTTTGTGCTTCAGTTTGTCCTCAAACCCACCCATCTATAGTTTGGCGTAACATACGTAGATTTCGCTCGGCTTTTGTTGAACCGTCTATCTGTAGTCTATCTTTAGATTTAGCCGAAAAATTCATGGATAACTTAGTTCCAACATCAGTAACTTTCACCGTATCAAAATAATTCCGGTTTAAATTCTCCATTTTCTATGGAAGAGCTAAAAGGAATCCTTGCTAATCTTAAAGACTCTTGTCCTGGTAAAGACAATATTCCGTATTCTTTTATAGCTAATCTTAGTGATAATACGCTAAATTATTATTTACAAATTATAAATTCTGTCATGCTGACAGGTAATATTCCTCCATCATGGAGACAACAAACAGTATTGCCATTACTAAAACCGAATAAATCGCCTGCTGACGTATCATCTTACTGAACTATTTGTGAGTTGCCGTAATGAAAACACGTTCGTCTTGTACAACGGTTTATTCAAGAAGGAAGGATGACACCTTATAAAATTATAACGAAAACAGTTGTGGATAGCTTCAATATAAAATATTAACTTTGTTGACAAAACCAATCTTATTACTTAGTATTAAGGTTGAAAGTAATTTATAACATCTCTAATACATACATTACACCCTACCACTTATTCAATGATAAACAAACCAAAAAAAAATAATAATAATGAAGTACAAAAGAAAATATAATTACAACTATATTGTAACCAAAAAAAAAAACAATACTCAATAAAACACGGGGTTGCCGAATCTTTCTACCGGTTTTCTGACCCGTACACAGGGGTCCGGATCGTTCACTGCCGGCGCGGCGGCTGGCGCGCTAACGCAATCAGTTGGACCCGAACTGGGGCACGAAAGTATTGAAATCTGCGATCTCCTTTGTATCTGATCTATGTGCCTCTTAATAAGTTGACCGTTTTCCCGAGCTACACTATAATTACGGGAACCTATTTTTTTTTCTATTTTACCCTTAGACCATTTATCATCCCCCGTGCCAAAATCTCTAACCCATACCTCCTCTCCTACTTCAAAACTACGCGGGACCCCGCCGGCATTTTTTATCTGATTTTCCTGCGCTTTTTGTGCGTTGGTTACAGCATTATTATTCTTTGCAGTGCAAAGAAGATCTAATCTAGATCGTAAATTTCTATGTTGCAACAACATAGCTGGTGTTTGACCAGTTGAACTATGAACCGTGTTTCGATATACAAAAAGATAAGACTGCAGCGCTGTGTCAAAATCAATTTTTTCGTGTAAAGCTTTCTTTAGAGCTTTTTTGCAGAGCTTTACCGCGTTTTCAGCTGCCCCGTTCGATGACGGATGGTACACTGGAGTGAAGGTGTGGTTTATACCATTATGTTCCATAAAATTACTTATTTCTTTGCTAGTGAATGGGGGTCCGTTATCAGACACTATTTCTTTCGGGAGACCAAATCGAGAAAATATTTCCCTTAAAACTTTAATTACGTCCCTGGCTGTCTGGTGAGACATTCTATACGCCTCAATCCATTTTGTTGTCGAATCCACCGCTACAAAAAAAGTATACCCGTCAAAAGGTCCCAAAAAGTCTATGTGGAGTCTACTCCAGGGCTCGGCGAGATAAGGCCACGGGCTAGGGGGCGCGTGCGGCGGAGCGGGCGCCTCTAGCGCACACACTACACACTCTCGGCAAGTTCGCTCAATATCCGCGTCTATTCCGGGCCACCAAACGTAACTACGAGCTATGCTTTTCATCTTTACTATACCCATGTGTCCCGTGTGCAGTTCTTTTAAAATACAATCACGCAGCTCGGATGGTATTACCATCCGATATCCCCACATGATACATCCCGAGTCTAAATATAATTCATTTCGCCTAGAAAAATAAGGTTCTATGTCCGATGCTGGACATTTATTTGGCCACCCTGAACGTAAAAACATACCAATTCCCGTTAAAATTTTATCCTCTTTAACTTTTTCACAAACTAAATCTTTTGTTATTGGTAAAAAATCCTGAACAAAATTTACATATGTTATTACTTCCCTTTCCACACAGCTGTTTTCGATAGGTAGCCTAGATAATGCATCCGCGCTATTTTTTAATGTCGGTACATACTCGATATCATATTGATACCCTGATAAAATAACTGCCCATCTCTGTAACCTGCTGGCCGCCATGGTAGGTATACCTGCCTTTTCACCAAAAATACTGACGAGCGGTTTGTGATCAGTCTTTAACAAAAAATGCCGGCCGTACAAATATTGATGAAACTTTGTGACACCGAATATGATAGCCAATGCTTCCCTTTGTATCTGTGAGTAGTTTACTTCAGCCGCACTAAGCGTTCGGGATGCATAAGCGACAGGTCTTTCGCGGCCGTCGCGCATCCTGTGTGATATGACCGCCCCCACCCCGCGTGCACTAGCGTCTGTCGTCAGAATAATTGGCAATCCTGGGTCATAATGCGCTAGCACCTCGCTTGAAACTAGCAACTGCTTGACATTCGTAAAAGCCTCTGAACACTGATCCGTCCAAACAAACTTAGAATCTTTTCGTAACAACTTATATAAAGGAGATAACAGCATGCTTATATTTTTTACAAATTTAGCGTAGTACATTACCAAGCCTAAAAACGAACGCAACTCGGAAATATTTTTCGGGACTGGTGCTTTATTAATCGCACTCAACTTTTGCGGGCAAGTATGTACACCCTCTTTACTAATTACATAACCTAAATAAGTCACCGATTCTGCGAAAAAAGTACATTTCTCTTTTTTTACTTTTAACCCAAAACGTTTTAACCTTTCCAAAACTTGGTATAATGTTTTTACGTGAGAATTATTATCGACTCCTGTTAAAATCACGTCATCTAAAAATACCCCTACTGTAGGCATGTCGGCAAACATTTGTTCTAATTTCCTTTGAAAAATACCCGGACTAGACGAAAGACCATAGATTAATCGGTTATATTTAAAAAGACCTTTGTGTGTATTGATCACAGTGTACATTTTAGAGGGTTCGTCAAGTTCAAATTGTGCATAAGCCTGCGACAAATCTATTTTCGAAAATTTTTCCCCCCCATGTAACTTAGCCAATAAATCTTCTACCTTAGGTAAGGGAAAACGGTCCACTTCTAGGCATTTATTTAATGTGATTTTATAGTCACCGCAAATCCGTATAGATCCGTCCTTTTTTATAACGGGTACAATTGGCGTGGCCCAGTCCGAAGTGTCAACGGGCGCGATGACGCCGTCCCGCTCCAGCTGTTCAAGCGCCCGCTCCACTGGCTCACGCAGCGCGTAAGCAAGCGGCCGCGCGCGCCGGAACACGGGCCGCGCGCCCTCGCGCACACGCAGCGACACCGCACCACCAGTGAAACGACCCAGACCCTCTTCGAACACATCACTAAATCTGGAAATTAACGAATCCATACTTAATGCCGTAGTACTAGTTCTAACAAAATTACAATGTAAATCGGCAACATTTAATCCTAATTCGTATATCCATTGCCGACCCAACAAAGGATTTTTGCCTTGTTTCACAACAAACAAATCTAATGAGACACATTTATTTCTGAACTTGACAGTCGGCCTAATTTTCCCGATCGGAACAATTTTAATACCAGTATAAAAGCATAGCACTATATTGGTTGTCAATAATGGTAAATCATTAAATTTACTTTTGTAAAAATCATAGCTCACACAGGAAATAGCACTTCCGGTATCAATTTCCATTTGGATATTTTTATTATCTACTTCAATACAAGTCATTAGAGGCTTATAAAAATCATAACTATAAGTACTACTAAAATTATTTATATGTACCTCTAAAGGTTGCACCGATTATTCTTTCTACAGTACTAGTTAAAATAGCTGAACACCTATTGAAAAATAGATTAGAGTGGTTAGATGAGAGCAAGAACCTTTTGTCGAATAGCCAATACGGTTTTAGAAGGAACAGAAGCACATCGGATTGTATTGGAATTTTAACATCAGATATCCGGATAGCGTTTTCCGATAATGAATCAGTTGGGGCGGTCTTTCTCGACATAAAGTCAGCGTACGATAATATTAATTTATCGATTTTACGCGATAAATTAATTGATTTACAAATCCCTTTAATGCTAACCAATTTTATTATAAATCTGATTTCTGAGAGATATCTAATACTTCATATAGATGATACAACAATTGAAAGAACAGCGATAAAAGGCTTACCACAAGGGTCAGTCATCAGTCCGTTTGCTTTACAATGTATATACCCATGATCTTGAAGATTCATTAGAAAGCTCTTGCTCGGTTATTCAATATGCCGATGATGTAGTTTTATACTGTAATAATAAATCTGTAAATAACATAAACAACGACATAAATTATTCATTATCGTTATTTAAAAAATGGTTAGTTAGAAACGGCCTAGAGTTGTCTGTTTCTAAGACAATTTTAGTGCTTTTTTCCAGGATGAGAAACTCTCCTTACTTATACATTGTGAATATACATCAGCAAAATGCGAACGTAATATTAATATTTTAAGATGTCTTGCTGGCGTTTGGTGGGGCAGCCATCCAACTTCGTTAAGATTGCTTTACATTGCCCTTGTAAGAAGTATATTAGATTACGGAACTTTTTTGTTGGAGCCAGGCAATGCTAGCGCCTTTCGGAAGTTGGATGGTATTCAGTCAAAAGCCTTACGAATAATTTCTGGTGCCATGAGGTCTAGCCCTATATGCGCGTTACAGGTTGAATGCAATGATCCTCCATTACACCTTCGTAGACAGTATTTAGCCGACAGATATTTTTATAAGGCCGTTCAATTGACGAACAACACAATTATTGAAAAAATAAGAATTTTATCGGAAAAGGTAATTACAGCTAGTTATTGGTCTCATAAGAGCCTTCCGCTACTAGTTAAATCCTTTAATAAATATAAAGCTGAAGACATTCCAGTTCATCACTTCCATATTCCTCCTATCTTTAACACAGACTATGATGCTTTATCTATTAACCCTAATATAATTTATAACCTCCACATCGATGATAAGGCTAATGCAAATGTCTACTTTAATGCTATAGTAACTGAGACTCGGTACCAGTGGCACAAAATATTCACTGATGCGCCTAAAACCGCACAGCAGGACGTTGGAGTTAGAATCTTCCATAGCAACTACAATATTCAACAAAAAATACGTCTGCCTCCACAGACTTCAGTTTTTACTGCCGAGTGCCTCGGTATCTATAAAGCAGTAGAATATATAAGGCTGGCTAAACTAAAGAAAACAATTATTTTTACTGACTCTTTAAGCGCATTATATGCGCTAGCAAAATTCCCGTTCAGATCAAAAAAATATCCATTAATCTTAAAGACAAGGGAGTTGCTTTATTTAAGCTTATTAAAAGGATATTCGGTTTCTTTTGCCTGGGTACCTAGTCATTGTGGCATAATTGGTAACGAATATGCCGATTACCTCGCTCGAGACGCAGTAAAATGTGGTGATCTTTATTATTATAAGAACTATTCTCATGATTTAATTAATATGTCACAAGCAACATTACAAGATTCATGGTTCAGGTTATGGGTGGAGGGTAATAAATCAAAAGCTAAGTACTATCGCTCATTACAACCAACTTTACTTACTAAACCTTGGTTTTCAAAATTAAGGTTTAGTAAATCCGTTACTACAATTTTAATTCGAATGCGCCTCGGACATGTTTGTACTCCTGACCGTCTGGCTAAATACGGGTTAATAGATTCGTCCACATGTGAATGTGGCGAGGTTGATGCTGACGTTAACCATATTTTCTTTTCTTGCCCCAGATATGACAGAACCGCCTTTTTATGGGCCTACCACACGCACGAGCTTCACCACAGTTTTGCCTGCGCAGGCCGGTTTGTACACGGAACACGGTGCGTGTAGTTGGTAAAACTGTATCACGCGCCAACGACACAGCGCGGCCTGCGCATTTTTCGACTTGCTTGAAATTTTGCCTGCGCAAGCCCGGCCTGCGCGTACTTGTCTGTGCGTGTGGTTGGGCGTTCAGTGTTCAAGCCACAGTCGAGTGTACTTTGTGTCGAAGCTCGCTCGTCGTTTCATGAAGTCGTTCGTCATCGTAAGGCAATGTCCTAATACAACGCGATAACGCGAATGAGCGATGCGATCATAGTACGATTCGACGATCAAACATATTGATCTAGAATAGGTGTCCTAATAGGCGATCGCGCGACGCATTCGCGCGACTAAAATGTTTAAAAATCTATTCGCGCGAACTTAGTTCACGCGAACGCGCAAACAAACCTATTAATGATGAATAGGTGTCCTAACTGAACATCGCGGGATGATCGTGTCGCGTCGGTAGGTGAGTAGCGGGGAGAGGGGCAGGGCTAACCCGTTCCGTATTCGCGTTCTATTAGGACACCCAGTTCGCGATCACGCGATGGTCGCATCGTTTAATCGCGCGATGATCGCGTTATCGCGTTGTATTAGGACAATGCCTCACTCAAAAATGGCAGATTTGCGTACGTATAATCGCGAATTCACGTCTGAATTTATTAGTTTATACAAATCTCTGCCTGCACTCTGGAAAATTAAATCTAACGATTATTCCGACCTAAATAAAAAGAACGACGCCTACGAAAGAATGATAAATAAAATGAAAGAGGTAAGAACATAATTTTTGCAAATAAATACCTATGCCTAATACCTACTACCTACCTACTTGCACATATCCTATTGTTTTTACATGTTTTTTTTAATAAAAAACACTTGAAAAATAGTAGCATAAGAAATATTTCTTCATTAGGAAACACTGTTTCCACGCCAATGATTTCGATACGAATGAGGCTTGCGCGTACTTAACTGTGCCGTGTGGTAACGCACAAAGTGTACAGTTTTTTCGTGCGAGATGCTTGCGCAGGCCAAACTGTGGTGAAGCTTGTGCGTGTGGTAAGCGCATTAGATTCATTGAAGACAATATATATTCCTTTTCATACGTCCATTCCTTCTCTTCTATATAATAATAATCCTGATATATACATATGTTTATCCAAGTTTATCAGAAAAAATGATATAAAAATTTAGTTTATCTACATATTAATATTTTTTCTTTAGTTCCCTTTATTTACCTATATTCCCCTACCTACTCACCTGTTGTTCCTTGTTGTTGTTCATCGCAAATCTCCTTTTTTTTTCTTCTTGTTCATATCGTTTCCTACTTTTTACCATCTGTAATCACCACATATCCAACTACCAACTATCCATATTCCGCTCCTCTAATCGAACAATTTTAATCGATGTACTAACCTTGCATATGGCAAATGGCAACATTAGCCGTCATAATAAAAGAAGAAGAAATTAAAAATTGCACGAAGTATTATTGACACGTGCTTAATATGATTGTGTAATTAATATTAGCACAGAATACTATTTAAGTGTCCTTTTTATGTGGAATTACAAATTATATACTTTTTTGTGTTTTTTTAAAACAGTATGTGTTGGTAAGTGTCCCTATAAATTAGGAGTTACTAGGTTTAGTCTGCCAGTTCTTTCTCATTTATAGTTAGTTTTTTAAGAATCTCTCAGGAACCTTGGATGTTTCCGAACTAAAAGTATCATATCATAATAAACTATTTAAATGGTAAATCCCAATCCGTTCAGCCGTTTTAGCATAATAGACTAACAAATCTACACATAAATCCATAAAAAATGTATACTTTATTTCTTCAAGTTAGTCAACATGGTTGCAGCAGTAGCATCCTAAGCACTCACTGCAGGACTCTTAGGTTTATGATTATGTCCCAGCACTGTATCAATTAGACCACCCATACATGTTAATAGGACAGAAATACAATACTTCTTTTGTGATTCATTTTTAATTTCTTAATACATTTCTATAATTTTAGTACTTCTACTAATTCTAAGAATCTCAAACATTTTGTTTGCAAATATATGTGATGTATAGATTGTGAATCCTACAATTTTATAGCTATTTCCATACAAAATGACAGCTAAATTGGTTCACTGGTTGTGGAATATGTGCATCATGAATATTGCGAACAATATCGAAATAAGTATCAGAATTTAAAACCTGTGAATATTGCATGCCCTATATACTATATATATACTATTTTTTTTTGCTTTAGCACTTTGTGAACAATCGATTTACTCATATTATTTTTTTTAATTTACTTTATCAGATGTACTCATAAATATCTTATGACAAGAAATAGCAGTGAGAAATTCTTGTATAAAAACAAGATTTACTGATCTTTTTATTGTTTAAAAATGAGAAACAAATCAATGGTTAAGAAAAAAAGAAATGGTTTTAAAGGATCTACTTTAAAGAGTAAAAAAAAACATAATGACAAGGACGTTATAAATAAGAAAGCTATCTTCAATCGTTACAAAAATAAACAGAAGGTAGAAGAAGAGATATCAAAAAAAGTTTTTATGGAACGAAAGTTCCAGCATGAGAAGGTTGACTATTCTGAAAGTGAGGAAGATGAAAATGCTTTTGAACAGCTATTATCTTGCTTTAATAACAATGAAAAAGATAAATATGTTGTTGAAAGTGATGCAGAAAGTGATCTTGATTTAGAGCTCTCAAAAACCATGGAGGTTGATGGTATGGAAAATGTAGTAGAAAGTGATAGTGATGGCTCAGATGGTGAAATTAAAAGCTCACATAATAGTGATGATGATGAGGTAAATAGTTTTTTTTAATACATTAATAAAACTACATTGAATTGAATATGTAGTACATAATAGATAAGAAAGATTTTTAAACACATTTAAGTATTTTTTCTATTAGCAAATGTTAAATAGCACATTATAATAATAACAATTACGATTTATTTTCAGGAAATTTCTGATGATCCTTTTAAAAAACATATGCAGTTTGAATTGGGGGATGAATTACTTGTGTCATTAGCTAACTCCACTCCTACAGTCCAACATGTGAATAAATTGTGGCCAGTTATTTGTAATGCTAAAATTACAATACCTAAACCTGTACAGATAGAGTCAAATAAGATTAAACCAAAATTTTCTATTATACAAGAAAAGATAGTAGCACCTACTGGAACTGTTCCACAATTGATCAGTGATGTGGATTTTCAGAAATTACATATTAAATCACAGATTCATGGGAATATTGTATCTGCAAATAAGAGAAATCTCATAAAACGAGACTTGGAATTGAATGAAATATTTACACCATTGCAAAAAGAATTATTTTCCGTCATCAACAATTACCAAGACTTATATTTTACAGAAAGAAATTTTAGTAATGCTGAAGAAATTCGCTATATTTATTGTCTTCATGCAGTTAATCATATGTTAAAAACCAGAACTAAAATTATTCATCACAATGTTAAGTTATCCAAAAAATCTGATGTATGTGATGAATACAGAGATCGTGGATTAGTACGACCAAAAGTAAGAAATATTCGCTAACCAACAGAAACACAACAAAAGCAAGAGATAGTGCTGTTCTCTGTGGTCGTATAATGTTGGATGTTACTTCACCAGACAATGGTTTTAAGTTATATTTTTTTAGATGATAGGCCACAGTATATTTTTCTTATAAATTACAACACTATTTTATGGTAGAGTTGTGTTTCTGTTGGTGAGTGTGGTTACTAGAGCTGTAAGATGTAGGGGATTTGACAGTAGGTAATGCATGAGTAAAGCTCATGGAACGATTTTCACCCGCGACGCAAATGGCTTTTGGAGTGTGCATGTGCGGCGGGTGTGGATAAAATAAAACTGTAAAGTTTTTAGCCTAATATTCTTGTTTAAAGAACGTAATTTAGGAGGCGTATTAATTTTTTTCGTATATTCCCAGTTATTTCCACTAAAGCCAAATGGGAATTAATAAAATTAAGTGGAAACAATAACTTCATTACCATTTGCCTCCAGTGGCGGATCCATTGGGGGCGACTGGGAATAAATCTCCAGGGACTTTTTATTACTCTTTTCTTAATTTAATGAAATTTCAAAAAAAATATATTAAATACTAATATTTGGCTTAACATGCATCTGTATAAGATTAAATAACAGGACCTTAAATATATTTTTTAGGTTTTAATCATGGTTCCCTTCAAAGATGCAGCATACAGAGTTGTGAAAACATTAATGGATATTCTAGTACCCAAAGAGACTGGTCAGGTGGTTAATAAAAAAAGATTTGAAGAAGACTTTACTGGTGGCGAAATATTTATGCCTAAAAAGAATCCTAAGCCAGAGGATTATGAATTATTATTTAGTGGTAATACTGAAGATACCTTTCGTCTAGGTATGACAATAACGAAAAAGACGATGAAGGTAAACTTATATTGAATATACATATTTAAAATGTTGATCTTTTTGAAGTTATACTTCTTTAGGCGCGTTATGAAAAAATGATCAGAGTGAAATTTTAAGATGCGCGCGCATCACTGTAACACAAAAAATTAACAGCATGAAGTTAGTCGCTTTAGCGACCAACTTCATGCTGTTACTTTTGTGTTTACCGCACATTAAGAAAATCTACCAACAAAATAGAAATAGAATCTCTATTTTGCATTTTGAAGGCCTATCAAAAGTATTTATTAATCTGGAACAACGGAACCAAAGCGCGATTCAGGAGACTACAGCGCCATCTCTTGACCATTGGTGTAGTAGAACCAAAAACCACATCTTTATTTTTTGTAATAAAGTAACAGTTATAGGTAGGTATTCATATTTATAATATTTATCCACATGTTTCTAGTTTGTATATTTGGAATACGTGTTTGAGTTTCATACAAGTGCAAATCACATATGTTCTAATAAATTATATTCAGTAGCGATTTTAATTGAATATTTTGATTATTTATTTATTTTTTCAAATTAAAACTGAACTTTATTGACTGTGTCCTTTTCCGGACTTTTTATTAATTTATTTTAATTAATTATTTGCATGCAATTAAAAACTAATTTTTAACGATGCCAAAGAAGGATAACTTCTCACGCGCCTACATAAGTACACGCACCCATTTTTTTTTCGTTATGAATATGAATATTCTGTCTCTATTATCAAATGAATAATAACCTTTTATGATATTAAGAGTGGACTAGTTAGGATAGGACAAGTTTTGGTCTGTACCCCGAATTACAAATGTCATTTGTGTGAAGTATACAGTAACACAGGCGCGACCCACAAGAAAATAGCCATGGATTGCCAAGTCAAGTCAACTTACATGATGTCCCATATATGTATATTTTGCAAAACTGTACATAAGCAATGACAAAATACACCGCCAAAGCTGCTTAGGGCTACTTCCCTCTTGGTTGTGACTGTATTGCTCTATGGAGTGATGTGAACAAAACACAATGTAACTCGTCCTTCTTCGATTATTAATATGTTAAACCCTGTAACTATAAAGAAAATGTTCCACACTGATTTCTGTTTTCATTTCAGCTCTATACAGATTTTTACTCTTCGGACATTATTGTCGCATCACCACTAGGTCTACGGATATTGGTGGGTGCTGAAGGCGAGGAAGAGCGTGATTATGATTTTCTGGCGTCAATAGAACTGCTTATTATGGACCAAGCAGATGTCTTTCTTATGCAGAACTGGGATCATTTGTTACATGTTATTGATCACTTCCATTTGCAACCGAAAAAGACACACGACACAGATTTTTCTCGAGTAAGAATGTGGGCTGTTAATGGTTGGTCCAAATATTATAGGTAAGTATCGAACAGATCCAGGAGGGCATGTATAAAATTACATTTGTATGAAAGCAATGTTAGACATTTTAAACCACCATAGGGTACAATTATTTTACAGTGGTTTTCTGTAACTGAAGTGTCTGTGACTGAAGATTGCTTCTGTATGGTTACTCTATTTCAAGGTGGAAAATCAGTTCTACCTCTCTCAATTCTACATACACTTTTTAACTAACGGCCGCTCTCAGAAAGGTTATTGAGTTTAAGTGTGATTAAAGTTAATGAATGGGCACATACACTAGATTTAGCCAATCTCTGAGGACCCATCACAAAATAAAAGTTCTCCAAATCTAATAAGTATTTTTTCCATTACAGGCAAACCTTAATTTTCTCAGGAGTTTCCTTACCAGAGCTAAAATCCGTTTTTAATAAGAAGTGTCAAAATTATGCTGGCAAAGTTGTTGTAGAGAATCCTGTTGAGACTGGCAGCATTCAGCAAGTTTTATTGCAAGTGCCCCAAGTATTCCACAGGTACTATTAGGATGATTCAATATTCTTATATTTATAGTATAAAATCAGCCGTCATCACAGGGTGTTAACTAGATCTGCAGACTCTTAATCCGCACTTTATTTTTGTTTTCAATACATATATAATCAGACTTTATACTTACCCAGAGAGTTGGTAGATTCAATGGTTGTTGCAAGGTAAGCAGACTGAGACCAACACTTTGTATATTCTTTAAATTTAACTTTTATTGTCTCAAGCCTGTAAAAGATCCGAAACGTCAACATGTTTTATTAAATTGTTGGTATGCGAGTAAAGATAACAAAAAAAATTAGTATACTTAAACCATTTGATTTATTACCACAGAACGTGTTTTTTTATGTTAAAAGGGTGGCAAAAAAACGTATGGCCCTCCTGATGGTAAGCGGCCACCATAGCCTTTAACAAGGCACCGTTGCCTACCCTGACCCAATCCCTGACTACCCCGTGGAGCGCTGGAACCTTACTTACATATACAGTAGAACCCGTTTAATACGATCACGCTTAATTCGATTTACGATTTCTCGCATAATACGCCATTTTGCGTAAGTCCCTGTAATTTTATCGTATTGACATCTTTTCATACATTACATAACGCTTACATTATCTTGAAAATCTTGTAATTGCTATAATGCCTTCAAATCTTTATGACAAACTAAAATAAAAGTGATTATTTTAAACAATGTAATATTTTTTTATGTTTTTACTGTAATTCAAAGTACTGCATTTTTTTTAATGTAGTATTTCTCTATTAGGTTCAAGTCGGAGAGTCCTCTGGCATCAGTGGAGGCTCGGTTCGAATACTTCATAAAGGAGATTCTACCAAAGCAGAGAGATCCGTTGATGAGTCATACTCTAATATACGTTCCAAGTTATTTCGATTATGTGCAAATAAGGAATTACTTTAAGAAAGAGGACATCGGTTTCGTACAAATATGTGAATATTCTAAGGTGAGCCTACAAATTAACAATTTAAATAAATTTTAAATAATCTCTCGTATTAGAATGTTCTTAGTGAATTGTAGCTTAATAATATATGATACGATAACTTGCAATTGTTTTCTATTATCACTACAATAGTTCACTATTACCTAGTGGACATTTTCACACAGTGTGCTAGTTTACTGGTTCGTACAATAAAATCAGCAGGATAGTCAGAACAGATTTTATATCATAAGCAAACCATTCCTCGCCGACGATCAGTGTTGTATTCATATGACCCTCTAACATGATGGAGCCTTTCGGCTTCGTTACCGACAAATTCTTAATACACACACAATTCTTAATACTGCGGTCGATTCTGGCGTGATTCTCTAAATTTAACATCAGTCTTTCCCTTTCATTCTGTATAGAAAATGACAAAGATGCACTGTTGTCAAATATAAGTTTAGCTTTAGAGAATTTGTTAGAATCGACACCACTATATAACTATAAGAGGGAAGGTAGGCTTTTGTAACAGTATATTAGCAAAACCTACATCAGAAAGACCTATTAAAATAGATTTTATCTTTTATAACCTAGTAAGAATAGCAGTGAATTCAAGATAAGAGATAATTATTATCGGGTTTATGGGCATGTCCATTTGGATAAAACCCTGTCAAAAAAAAAATAAGGGCGCGGAACAGAAAAGACGGAAGACGCAGACGGGGCGCGGATATACACTTCTATATACTTCTATATACTTATAAGTTTCAACGGTCTGAAGATAGATGTGATGAGCAAAAATGTAATTAAGTTAGGATGAGCAAAAATAATATATTTTTAAAAAGACGAAAATTATAGTTGATGAATCAACTTCAAAACTGCGTAGGTATAAACGTTTTTTTCTCTCAATGTAACATTGATTTTTAGATAGGGACCGTCAAAACCATATAGGTCAAAACTGAAAATGCTAGGTAAGCCGATAGATGTGTCCGGGAGTACATTTTTATTCCGCGCTCTTTTCATACAAAACGTATTAATCGCAAAAAAATAATTTTATTTATTAATTTATAGTCGGGCACCGTAGGCCCATAGATACATACCTTAAAGTCTAACATATATACAGATATAAAACATCATAATTATAAAATAAATAATAGAAAAGACAGGGCGCGGACACGACGACGCTTCTTCATTTTGTATGAAACAGACAATGTCCGCGCACCGTCTGCGTTCTAAAAGACAAATCCTGTCTGCGTCTTACATCTTTTCTATTAGTCCCGCGCCTAAAAGACAAAGCCTTTAACTGTACAAGATTAAACGAATTTATTGTTTTTAATTACAGGATTCGAAAATAGCACGAGCCCGTGATATGTTCTTTCACACAGAAGCCCATTTTCTGCTATATTCTGAGAGAGTGCATTTCTTCAGGAGGTTTAGGATTAAAGGCATTAGGCACATAATATTTTATCAGCCGCCAACATACCCACATTTCTATTCGGAAATTTGTAATCTCATGCAGGTGTGTATGCATTTGTTTTTATATTTTGGGCAGGTTGCTCTCACTACCTGAGGCCAAGGCACGAATTTTGACGGCTCCCTAATAGTATCGTCATCGTAAAATTTTGCATGGAAGGAGCCAGTTTGTTATTATAGTCTAAGATCTGAACCTACATCGACCTTCACCGAACTGATAATAGCATGAAACATATTTTATCATGAAATTATATATGTACGGATATTCTACTATTACGTCTGCCAGAGGCGCTGCTTAGTTTTCATAGAATATTTGAGAATGTGATACGATTACGGAGCTGTAAAATTTCGTATTTGGACCACTGCTCGTGTAACCCTGAGTGTTTTTTATTTAGACGTAGCTTGTTGTATATATTGGACGCACAATAGTTTTCTCTCTTTCAAGTTCATTTCGTGTGGGTATTACTGAGTCCATTCTCTTATGTCTATCATAATAAGTTTATATCTATATTAAATTCTAAATGATGTAATCGAAAGGTTACTTCAAAATAACTCTGAAGTCATTTTTCAATTTGTCGACTCTGTATATAATAATACAGGAAGAAAAAACAGCCCATGCTGAGTTTCTTGCCAGTTCTTCTCAGTACAAGGTCTTCCACCGTAGTTTTGGGAACAGATGGCGTAGCTTCCCCACCTTCACAAGTGCTTGTAACAGCATAAAGTGAATAAATTACTTTTGAGTTTGAGTTTAAGCACCATATTGATAAACAAATGAACAGTGACAGAAATCACTGCCGCGCGGGCTCATTGGTCAGATCAAATAGCGCGCACTTCCTTGGGGCGTCCTAATATACACTTCCATTTTTACGAAATCACGACCATAGTTTGCAAGAACAGAGAAAAGATGTTAGGGCTCCCTTAGGAGTATCGAGAACGTAAATTATAATACTGTTTGCATATCATTCGCATCAATTAATACAAATGCGTGTAAATCATGTCCGCCATGTGGATCGCATTTTTCTTACAATATGTGGGATATGAAAGTGTGTTACAAGGAAGCTGGGGAAGCTAAGCTAGGAAGAGGGTGCTATATGATTTGACCTATGACCGCGCACGGAACTGCTTTATTTTACCATTTTAAACGTTTTGAGAGTAAACCAAAAGTCAAACCTCAATAAGCTGCCGTAGATTTTAATCGATTCTAAAGGATCTGATCATTCATTTGATCAAATAATTTGGATAAGGCTTTACAAAATGTAAAGTACGAGTGCGAGCTCATGAAAACTATCCTAGTTTTCGTAATTGTAAAACTCGTACTAAGGGTACTGATTCGCATTCTTTTGCAGGAGTGCAACCAGAACAAGTACGGAGGCAGCGAGTGCAATATGAGCGTGACGGTGTTATACAGCCAGTACGACGCACCGCGCGTTGCCTCCATACTGGGCGTCAAGCGGCTAACTAGCGCGCTGCATGACGATCAGCGTGTACACGTGTACATGACAGGGGACTGACCGACTGACGTATTATAAGAATTAACTGTACATATGTACATACCTCGTGACAAATTGTAATGCAATAAAATAAGATTATCTACATTATTTAGCAGCTTTTTATTTACCAACCAACTATACACTAATAGTATAAAAAATCTGATTATGGGGCTCGATGGTGCAGGTGCTTACCGCGTTCGGTCTGCGGTCATGTAAGTTGATCAACTTGAGCATTGGTCGGTCGTTGGATGGGTGAACAAAAACTTTATATATCGAGCTCCGCCGTGCTGTCGTTAGCATCCATCAATCGCACTGGGCCTGCGTGTTGGATCATGGGCCAATCTCCCTATTCCATTAACAGGGAAGCCCTCTGCCTCAGCTCAGCAGTGGGGACATAAAAAGGCTGATGATGATGATGAAAAAATCGGTTTGCCATTTTTACAATAACAGTCAATGATTTTGATCCTGAAAACCACGTTTAACATCAGTCTCTCCTTTTCATTCTGTATAGAGAATGACAAGGATACACTATTGTCAAATTTAAGTTTAGGTTTAGAGAACCCTGCCACAATCGACAGCATTGGTGTCGATTCTGGCATGATTCTCTAAATTTAAAACTTAAGACATCAGTCTCTCCTTTTCATTCTGTATAGAAAATGACAAGGATACACTATTGTCAAATTTAAGTTTAGGTTCAGAGAAGCCTGCTATAATCGACAGCATTAAGTCTAGTTTTTATAATTTGAAATTTCGCTCATGACTGTTTCACAGAATACTGAGATTATAGAACTGTTTTATGATAGGCAACACATCTGAAATGTCAGAATTCCGTCCAATTAAAAATCTGGCTTTAAAAATGCTTAATGGGAAGAAGAGGGAAGAATTATCGCCATAGTGATAACTCTAAGCTTCTTCCTGAGGATCTCTTTGGTATTGACCTTACCTGCTACGTGTCTTTGTTATTTACGATTTTAAACTTTTGACGACCGCCGTGGCCGAGTGGTTTGTACGCCGGATTTCATGGTGTCGCCGACTCGAAAGGTCCCGGGTTCGAATTCCGGTGGGCGCAAATGTTTGAGTGATGAATACGAGCATTTGTACTCCAATCATGGATGTTTAATATGTATTTCTATATAAATATACTTGTATATGTACAGTAAATGTATTCTATCCGTCTCACTCACCCTAGCATCCCATAATACAAGCCTTACAGTGCTTACTTTGGGGCTAGGCTAATTGGTATGTGTTCGAAATATTTATTTATAACTACCTACGCTACCATTGTCATAGCTACGAATTTTTCCTAGGGGGTGCAGCTGTCCAGTAGAACTAACTACGCATTCTGAGAAGATCATTCTTCTATATTCAAATTGATAGGATAGGTAGAGGTTTAGTGATGCATGCACACATGCTCGACAGCACGTGCGGCTTTAACTATCGCAGTGCAGAACGCGCGGTTTTGTTTCCCAGCGTCTGTTCGCCTTTGTTTTTTAAGTGAATAATAGCGTAAGTATGTATGTTACTGTAAAAGCCCGAACCACGTAAATCCTATGATTTACCAATTCTTAATGGTTAAAGTCTGAACAGTTTTGCGTTTAAAATTTTACCACTATACACTTGTTATATCTTAGGATTTGTATCAAATGGCTCAATTGCACTTGGTCGTTAGCCCGAATAGAATAGTTACCAATTGAATTTGGGTAAACGATTAGTCGTAGTGTAAATGAATAGGCTGAAGTACGCTCGTATTCGGGTAGTTTACGTTTTGATTACCGAACACTGTCTCCCAGATCGTATTCCAGTGTAAAAATTTTGCTTCGGGTGCCCGAATTCGAGTAATGTCTTTCGTACCTTCGGGCTAACAACCAAGTGTAATTGAGCTAAAAGGCACGGCAAATGTTGAAAAAGACATCTCTTAACATGTTCGACATAATAAGTGTATCCAGTGTTGCCAGATATCCCGATGTTACAGGAGATTTCCTGTTTTTTGAAATTTCAAAATTCCTGTTATTATGTTTCTCTACATGAATCTACTGTTTTTCTTAGAATGGGATTTTCTTTTTAAAATTGCGTGTTGTGTTGCATTTTCCGCCTTTTTATAACAAAAAACAAGCTTTGAGAGGCGACAGAAGCCATAGATACGCATTCGTTACTGGCCTATATTTTGATTTGATTTACCAATTCTAGGAGGGTGGGGTGGGGGGTGCAAATCGGAATATACCATATGGTGATGCACCATAGGGTGGGCCTTGAGCCTTGACATCCCTTGCTTCCTCCTCCCCCTAGCTAAGGTTGCCAGTTCGAGAAGTCCTAATATCTGCTTAGAATTTTAGTTATTGTCTGCAGATTGCCCGCCCCCCCCCCTGCTGAACGACCCATGTTAAACCAAAAATTGGTCAGGGTAAACGACAGGTGTAACGTCATGTTGCTTTGTCGGGTGATGTTGCCAGCATTATTCTTCAGAGAAATAAACTTATATCACGAAATTAAGGTAAAAAAGTAATGCACTGTGTTGCTCGAAAATAAAATACTAATTTTAGGAATAACATAAAATATATTTATAATGTACTTAAGTAACTACTACTTATTTCTATTTAGAATATATTTTCGTATCAATATTACTGGACCAAATAGTAGTAAATAGGTACTACTAAACAACCTTCCCAAAGAAATAGTGAGTTGAGGTGAGGCATTATTTTTTAAGGATACCAGTAGATACTTTACATATCTAAGCAGTTTGTAGCTTCGCAGTGCAACACCTACTTATTAGATTAAATCAAAAAGGGTTTTAATCTAAGTCTATAAACAATAAAGTTACCTAGTTATATTTTATATTGTATTTTCTATAAATCTAGGTAGGTAAGAATTTATTTTATCTATGTAAGTAGTTATATGAGTACCTAGTCAGTTATATAATTATTAGGTTCGAAATAGGGTAAGGTGAGATCATTTAGTTAATACTTATTACTACCAAATATATCATTCCTATTAGATATTACGTAATGCAGTTATAGGTACTTACATCAAATTGTAGCTTAAGTTACTAACATAAAGACCGCATGGTTAAAAATTCAATGGATTACGGATTTAATATGAGTAATAGTAACTAGGAGAACCTACTTAATTTATATTATAATTTTTAATTGTTGCAAATAAATAATTAGACTATCTTACCCTATATTAGTAGATAGGTATAAGTATGTATGAGATCAATGTAAAATGCGACGTCACAAATAATAACCAATTTGTCCAAGCAGAGGTTAATTCGTATTGAGGTTAAGGAATGCTGTAATTGGAACTCTTTAAAGAAGTTGCTCTTATGGGGTCATTCCACTAATCCCATTAAATTGCAGTATCAAAGGGGGGTTGTGAACTTTTATTGCACATATCCCCATTCGATGCTAATCGAATTGATAATGTGAATAAATAGAAGAAAAGTTCACAATCCCCCCATTGATAGTACAATAGGGTATTTGACAGTATTAAAAATAAAGTGCCAATTGTTAGCATCTGTGTTTAGAATGAATATTGGCAGAGGCTTTTACTATTTTTACAAAAAAATATTCATAATTTTACTAAAAACCCACGAAAACAGTTTTCTTATCTATTGTCACGTGACCCAAAACGCTTGGGATTGGCGGAGCCGAAAATGACGTCACACGCAAGTAAACTTCCGGTTAAAGTGACATTACATTGTATCGTTTGACGTTTTATAGTAGTGTGACGTCACACACTAGTAAGACGCTATATTGTCCAGAGAAACGTTTTCGCGGCAACTTGAAAATGGAGTTTTTGACATGGTTATTTTTACTGAAATACACAACAGAATGATTACGGTCTCCATAAACATTAGTCAATAACGTGAGATCGTTTTCTAAAACTTGTCAAATACTCTATTTAATGGGATAAGTGGAATAAATCATAATGAATTTCCACAACTATATTTTTTACGTCTAGGCAATAGTTTCCGAAATATTATTAAGTATTTCGTGCGTACGTACGTGTTTTTTAAGAACTTCAGATAAAAAGTGAGCAAGTTGTTAAAAATAAGTTTGAATTTCGTTGGGCATTTCGATGAAATTTTGAACTATTTAGCTCATGGAGCACCCTCACTGCTCCATGATTTAGCTATATGTCCTAAATAAAATTATGTAAGTACCTAGGTATGAGCCGGAGACGCAGACGACAGATTTTATTATTTATTTAGAATGTGTGAATATACCCATTATGTGTATGTGATAATTAATCTTAAATTTATGCTTCCTTACACAAAACAGCAGGAATTAAAATTTTACATTTTTGCTATTATCAAAGATCATACAGAAAAATCCAAAGAATCTCACCAAATGTTATGCATGAATAAATGATATCGACAGCGTAAAAATTGGTAAAGGTAGCGGCAAACTTCTTGAATAAAACCACAAAAAACAACAGACAAATAAAATTGCGCGTTTTTGTATGTAAAGTTGCTACTATATGGCCAACACGCAGGCTTTCTTGTCTATGGTCGTTGCTCAAGAAGTTTACAGGGGTGAATAAGAAAAGTTTAATTCTAATTGAAAAATGGAAAGTTGGAAGATAATTTGGCGATCACATAAAAATAATCATAGTCTAAGTAAGTACGTACTTACTTATCTACACTTTACTATACACAGTTTTTTAAACAATAATGAGTTAGTTACAGTGCATAATGCATTACGAATAAACAAAAGCTTCTGTCATGGTCATGTAATAGTCCCGGTGATGTTGAGGAAATCTTCGGCACCGGGAGTAGCGTTCACTGGCACCTGCGCACTGGCATCCAGGTCATCGGAGAAGTTGGATAACTGCGCAAACTTGCTGGTGTCATTGCCAATCCAGAAACCATCGTCAGTGATATTTCCGAGGGTTTGCTGAGTGGAGGTCTCATTCATTGTGGTATTGCTTCCTCCTGTAAAATACATTATATAATTATTTTTTCTCTAAAGTTTAGCTTTAACGCTATATCTAGTGGTAGGGGAAAAAATATGGAAGATACAGAAGAATTGTGCATCCAATTTGAATGAAGATATTTTGGCTTTTGATTTTTATGGATACTTTTTGAATTAACAATGATTATATATAAGTATAGTTCTTATACAAGACGCTGTGAATTACCCCTAATTCCCCGGTAGGGAGACCTCACAAGATGTTAAGTGTAGGTGGAGTCCAGATGCGAGGATGGCATATGCGGCAAAAGTACTGCTGCAGCCATCCCCATTTTGCCGGCCTAAAGTTCCGAGGGTTCCACGGGGTAGGGGCTAATCCCCTACCCCGTGGAGCGCTCTGAACTTTAAACTCAACAGCACCAAATGGTAATTTTATTTGACTGTGGTCATCTGTAAGGTGTTTGTTAGGTAAGTACTTCCCCAGCCGCTCGCTCCATTTCGAGCGGTATATCCCATGTGTCCAACTACTATCAATGTACTAATACGGTCAAACCTTCTAAATCTTTCACATCGTTAAGTAATCTTTTTACGGCTATTGTACCCATCTTAGACAATCATTTTAGGTTTTTCATAATACTTTTGTTAGTTTCTCTGTTCTGTTCTGAAATCGATCTGAGCCACGTCAGACTACTACGTCAGTATATTTTCACAATATAACTGGATCTTGAATTGTACACATTGTACTGTTCAGGGAATTATCCTCTTTTTTAATTTAAAATTACCCTTACACCTTTATGTTTTCAAATATAAAGCCACTTACTTTATATTTTTTAAATAGTAAGCAGATTGATGAAAAAGCTGATTAGGAAAAAATTGGTACCTGAATCATTAAGTCCACGCGGAAGAAGTCGCGGGAAAAGCTAGTAATATTATGAAATGGAAAATATGTTGCGTACTTGTAACTATTATTATTATCTGAGGTAAGTGTGACCCCTATAGCAGATTTATGATGTTTTTTGTTTTCAGGATATCATTTGAGAAAGTGAACCATGCCATTTAAAATTGTTGAAACAATTTAAAAGTATGCAAACGGAACATCTTGGATCATGTCAATGGGATGGAAAGCTGCAGCAATGTTGAATCGATTTATGGTAACCCATACAGTTTCTTTCAGAACCCGTAGCCAGTTCTTTCAGCGTATTTATTTCATTTTGGAAAAAACTACAATGTATTACTTTATTACCTGTACCTACTTCTTTATAAATTATTATTTGTCGTGAACGACATTTGAATATCACTTAAGGTGGCCCTCTATATCCGTGTCAGTATACGAAACTGACTCGAAAGCTCAAAAACTATCATCATTATATGATTTTTGAAGTTATACTTCTTTAGCCGCGTTATGAAAAAATTATGAGAGGGTGAAATTTTCATCACTGTAACACAAAATTTTAACATAATGAAGTTAGCCGCGGGCGCGTTATTTGTAATATTTTATTTTCCAAGTTACCGTGGGGCAGATTTGAACGGGACATTGAAATGAAATGAAATGAAATGAAATGAAAGGAAACGAAACGAAACGAAACGAAACGAAACGAAACGAAACGAAACGAAACGAAACGAAACGAAACGAAACGAAACGAAACGAAACGAAACGAAACGAAACGAAACGAAACGAAACGAAACGAAACGAAACGAAACGAAACGAAACGAAACGAAATGAAATGAAATGACATTTATTATTAATTTATTGTAATTAATTATTTGTATGAAATTAAAAACTAATTTTAATGATGCCAAAGAAGGATAACTTCTCACGCGCCTACATAAGTACACGCACCCATTTTTTTTACATAAATTTGCTAAAACTACGATTTTAGTTTCGCTTGAACTTAGTAGAATTTTGCTGATAAATTACCATTGTACTGCGAAGTAACGGATTTTGAGAATACACAACCCTCCATATCGCTTGACTAGATTCCGGTTGGTCATCAATTTTATAATTCAATGCAATATTGTCCTGTTTATTGAATTAATCTTTAATTGGTTGGTTTGTAATAGCAAAATATTGTTTTAACACTTTTTCTTAATTACACTTCCATTTCGATATTTACTTTATTTACGATCCATATTTGTGAAATTCGCGTTGTCCATATGGTTCGGTTGTTGCGCCTTTTTTACAACCTACAGAGTACTAACATTCTAAAATATTTATGTTATACAGCAAAAGGGTCTTTTGCGGATTTTTTCTAAAGTCTTAGGGTAGGTACTGGTATCATTATGGTATTGAAATACACCAATAAACAGGTTTTATTCTATGGTAATTTTATAATGAAGCTTAGATATTTTAAACGTATTTTAATTATTCCCTTATTTATATATATTATCTCTTATTGGAGCTATTACGAATACATAAATTTTAATTTTATTATTAAACGCAGTTTCTTTGCTTTCGAGTAAATCTGTTATGCTATACGCGAACTACTTGACCTGGTTCCGTTTCCACTCAGTCGATTCTAGCATCACTTAACCAACTTTGACTTAACTACATGCTAAAGCTTCCAGGGTGTTTAGTCACTTTTAAAGGACAACATGATATGACGCTTTCTTAGCAATTCTGTTGTTTATTAGCTTCAATCTATCATCTTTATTATATTTATTAAACTTAGATTTATATAGGGTTGTTCAACAAGAACTTTGTTTTTGAATTGTGGCTACACCAAAAATATGATAGTTTTCACATTTAGTTTTTTGACGTTTTCGTAGAAGATGCATTGGCAATTGTTACAATGAATTCAATGTCGCTTAAAAATCGAATTAAAATAATTAAAATCCACTATGAAAATAGTGGTTCTGTTACAGTTACATTTTGTCAAATTCGTGATATTTTCGGACAACATAATCGTCCTTCTGAGACCGCTATTAAGAATTTGGTCGTTAAATTTGAGTCGACAGGCTCGATACAAAATGTGCCAACACCAACGCGTGTTCGACCGAGTCGTTCAACTGAAAGCATCGCAGCCGTGAGCCACAGTGTTGAGGCAGATCCAAATTTGTCAATTCTGCGACGTTCTCTACAATTGGGGTATCCAGAACCACCAAATGGCCTATTATTGATGACGTGGCTATCACTGATATATGGTTTCAACAGGACGGCGCCACATGTCACACAGCCAATGAAACGATCAATTTAATAATTTATTGCAAACCAAATTTCCCGATCGCATAATTTCACTATACTCAGCTGTTAAGTGGCCAGCCAGATCATGTGATTTAACACCACTAGATTATTTTTTGTGGGGTTATGTTAAGGACAGAGTGTATACGGGGACAATCGAATCGATTGCAGCCTTAAAACTCAAAATTCGTGATGTGATTAACGAAATAGTCCCGCCGTTTTGCCAAACAGTGATTATAAACTTTGATGCAAGAATCGACATCTGTCAGCGTGCTCGTGGTGGACATTTGCAAGATATCATTTTTCATTCATAATTGCCGAACTTTTCTCTTTGTAATTCAATAAAAAATTTAATCATCTTCATCTAATTTTTTTGTTTTATCTTGTTTGAGAAAACAAAGTTCTATTGAAAAACCCTATACTTAAATCTAAAGAAAAAAATACTGGATATAATCGCTCAAATAGCGGAGGGTTCGGTTTTGGGTCCGGTTTTCTGCCTGCGTGGTTTTTGTTCATTCTGATTAATACTAAATTTTCTTTAGTATTTATAAATCTAGCAGGTAAACGCCTCAAATAAATATACCTAATAAACTACAAATTGCCATTTCTTCTTTCAAATTTTAATACATGTAAAATTATCTACAACTATACCTTTTATTTCCCATGTAGTAGTTTTCCCGGAAATTGCGTTAAACCATTTTCCACCTTTATAAGGTCACCCCCTACTCTTTCCGACTTCCAAAAGACCGTTAATTATTTTTCCTCTTTTTTATATACGTTCTCTTCATTTTGTAATAGGTTTCATCCTGTTCTGATTTTTTTTGTTCTCAGCAACAGCTTTGTCCTGATACAGCTTACTCGGTGAAGCTGTATCAGGCCAAAGCTGTTGCTGAGAACATGATTTTTTGGTATATTATTTGGTAGGGCTGAGAACAGATCGTAGGCTATTTTTTATACCACTAGCTGATGGCTAGTATTACCACTTCTTTTTGACAACTTTTTTCTAATAATAATAAGTATTTTTGATGCCAAATAATTAACTACCTGCTACTACTAACTCTAAAAATATTCACCCTTCTGGTGCTAACTCCTATTTATGGCGGTACGAAGTTCACAGTTTTTTACAAAATGTTCAGTTCTACCAGAACATTTTGAAATTGAACTCTTCTAATTTATTTGTACATGATAAAGTACAGCTGTGTAAAGCAGGGACGCGTCGCTACTGTCGCTAGTGATAGATAAACATAAAACACACTAACTAGCTTTTATATGACCTAATGGTTCTATACTTACTTTAAATTCTTATCTAGCTGTTGAACTGTTCGTAGAGCTAATAAGATACGTAAGTGTGCGTACGTACAAATTACCTTGGTAGGTACCTAGATACCTAACTTTATTTCTGGAAATTCTGCCGAAATCGTTCTGTGATTTATATCTTATAAACATGATCAGTGAATAGCGGGTGCTGTGTATTGTAGCAGCGGAGTTGTGTAAGCTTCGGGTCTATATTTAGAATTAGTGCTGTAGCGCCTGCTCAGCTCTGCCACTCTAACGACCTGCTCGCTACTCAAGTACGTGAGTCTGGCACCAATCAAAACGACGCAGAGTTCAATAAGATTGTTTCTTTCATTTAATGGAGTTTATCAACAAACGAGTCAATTATATTAGGGTGATGAAAATATCGTAATGTCCTTCTCCTTTACCCTCGGACAACATAACTTTTAGGGTTCCGTACCTCAAGAAAAAAACGGAATTCTTATCACTTTGTTGTACGTCTGTCTGTCAAAAGCCTTTATCTCGGGAACGCACGCAGATCTACAGTCCCTTGAAGCTATGAAAAAT